CCAATAAATAAAAGTAAAAAAAATCTTTTTCACAAACAAAAATGATCATTAGGCATAAACACATAAAATTATCAGATATTTCATAGATATTTTAATAATAACAAATTGTGTTTACTTTTCTATGGGTTCTGTACCAATTTTTATCAGTTATACTGCGACGCGGCGCACACGCGCTTCTATATTTGGTGTCTACTTAGCCAAAAAAAAGTTCAAAATTATCAAAATGTTTCAAAATATAAGAAAATCAAATTTTTCAAAAAAGTCATTCTTTTAATGAATTATAAAAGCAAATTGAATCAATTATAAAAAATTTAATTTTAGGTACGGAAAGTTTCAGCAATTTGCCTTAAGGCACGATGCCATGCACCACTAGTTTTATTATAAAACTGTCAAATATTTAACCATTTTACAATCCTGATTCACAATCCCAACTTTTTGTGAAACTTGTCAAGAGACTTTAGTGTGTTTTTTTTTTAAGAATGGCTTTTTGAAGTCGGCCGATCTTGAAAAACCTTGTTTGAGAATTTAACACAAAAACTAATTTTTGAAATCTTGGCCATATTGTGTAATTAATTTTTACTGTGATCCTAGAAATGTTGTTCAAACTTACAGTTCCAATGTTCAAATGAATAAATGTAATGAAAATTAATAACAATAATCAAAAAGTTGGCACAATTTTACCAAACATTAGTTTGCACTTAAAAAGCTTGAGCTTGAAAGCTCATAATACTCAAGCTACTTGAGATATTTTTTTTTCTGGAGAGATATGGCCTGGATAGTTGAGTTCTGGGAATACAGAATATATGAAAAAAGAGATAGATTTTTTGAATAACTAATATTGTTTTACTGAAATAACATTCCCTCATTTTTAAATTTCTTTTTTTTTAATTATTTTTCTTATTTGAGAGATATGGGACATCCCCTATCACTTCTTCAGGAACTTTGAAATATTAAATTAGAAAAAAACTTGAATAAAAATTGTAATTGATAATACGTGGATTCACACCGGAATGCGTATGGAAGTAGAAATAGTTGTTATTGATTTTTAAAAAATAACGTTTTTAATTAATAATTTATATATATATATATATATATATATATATATATTAACAATTCTAAAATACTCAGAGCGAAATATACAAGCGCTTTATTTCTGAAAAAACACCAAAAATATAAAAACCCTGAAATAAAAATAATAATAAGTAAGTGTACTTTAGTATTGCCTTCTATTAAAATGTTTCAATGAAACAAAATGTATAATCAATTTCATAGATGCTTTATTACAAAAAATAAGATTACATTTCGAGCTTTTTCAATAAAAAGCCAATTGGTTTACCAAACATTCGACATCTGCACACGCATTCACATTAATACTAAATTTCTGTACAAAAAAGTTACACAAATAATATACATTAATAATATCTCAACGAATAATAAAATGATTTGAAACTTTACTGTCGTCTGTTATTTTCTAACAAGAAATATGAAACAATTCATTATGAGCTATTATTATAAATTTATATAAATTATAAGAGCTATTCTGATATATTTATATCATATTGTGAAAGTATTAGTTAGTAGAATGTACCAATGAATAGCATAAATTTTCTAAAGATCTACAAATCGTATTCCTCGTTTTATTATAATTTCAACAATACCTACATTTTTGCACGTCACTAAGTGACCTCAAAAAAGTCACGTTTATAATATTTTAAGGTTTGAAAATTCATGAATGCGATTCAAAATTTAGAAGTTTCATTATATTTACACGTATCATATGATGTTTGCAAATGCTAATGGAATATTAACAGAAAACGTGCGACTATACTGCAAAAAATAAATAGTTCGATACTTTTCAATTGGTCATGGTAGATGGATAGCTTGTGAATTTTTATTCATATTGTATAATTCATACTTATTAAATAAATACATGCACAAATGTGTATATGATATATGCATATAAATAACTATTTCATTCAATTTAGAAATATTTTTCTATCAATTGTATAAATTCAAATTTCATCTAGCCCTATTTGGTCAAGATGGTTTTTGAAGACTAAAACATAAGATTAGAGCTGGTAAATGCAAAATTGGTCGCTTTTTGTGAAAAATGAATATTATCAATATTTAGGTTTAAAAATTATTTTTTTATATACCAGGTGCTTTTAAATAGCTAATTAATGCGAGTATGATGATCAACTTTTTTAAAGAAAAAAGCTTTAGCATTCGTATCGTTCATTAGTTGACTTTTAAAGTATATCAAAATACAATAGAAGTAACATAAAATTAGGGTCTAGTTAGTACTTATAATATGCAGATATGTTTAACAAGGTTGCCAGAAAATTATTTGTTACAAAACATTTAAATGATGGTTCAACCAGCTATTAGTCTATTGAGTAAATAGCACGTCTTTCTGTGAGCGGTGAAAGTAGTCGTCGATGACCGTATGCAAACAAGCGCGTCTTCAGCGGAATCTCGGGTTCGGATGTGCCACATTATTCCGCCTTACAAACACCTATACTATTTTACACATCAATGCGTTTAATTTACACGTTTAAAATCAATTTTGCAAACGGCGCGGCTCATAGAAGTACGATGGTTAACGGCTCAAACATATACGATCTATTGTTTAATCACAAGCTGTTGTTTCATTGTGTAAAACAATATGGTACAAACGACGAAGAAATAATGTGCTATGGTATCTTATAGATAGCACAGTACTTTATCGACAAAAGTAATTTCATTTTTACTTATCTTCCGATCGTGCGTTTTCTATGAATGCAAATAATGGGCCGATGCTGACGTAAAATAGTAAAACGTAAAAAAATCCAATGTTATGACAAGTCTATATTGCGTTCCAGTTTTAATACAAAATGCTACTAAATACTGTCAAAATGCTAAGTATTTGCTGTACGATCAAGCATTCTACACATAAAATACAACTTGACCCATATGTTTTTTGGCATTTGTGCGTTTTCCTTGGTATATTTCTGACTTTTACCTACACAAGGATTTGAAAATCCATACAGTCAACAAAATGATCAAAATTATAAGTTCATCTTTCAACAATAAGTAAATCCAGCATACAAATCCTACTATTCAAGCTATTCATAGACCGACTTCACTCATATGTTATCAAACTATATCTCAAAGATCCAGTTATGATAAAACCCCTTTTTGGCATTTGTGCGTTTTCCTTGGTATATGTCGGACTTTTGCTTACATAAGAATTTGAAAATCTCTACAGTCAACGAAATGATGAAAATTAGAAGTTCATCTTTCAACAATAAGTTAATCCAGCATACAAATCCTACTATTTAAGCTATTCATAGACCGTTAAGAAGACTAAGCAAGAAATGGCCTTCCGATCTACCAAATACCCAGCCCAATGTTAGCCTAGCCCGACTTAGTAGACGTCATAGTTCATTTATGTTATTATTTTTGTATTATTGTTTTTATTTTATTTTATTTGAATTTTTTTCATTTTATATTCAATTTTTTGTATTTTATTTGTATTATTTCTTTTTTTGCACCTAATAAGACATTAAAGTCTTGATTGACAAAAATACATTATAGCAAAAAAGTGCGTTTTCTAGGTTAAGCTTTCTATCCAAAAAGCTTGACTACACAGCAACCACATTGGAGTTTGACAGTTTTTAGTAACACTTTATATGAAAACTGATACATAACATACCCGGCCATAACATTTTGGGTATATTTAACTAATAATTGGTATATTTTACCGCAGAATCGGCCCCTAAGTTATAAAAAAGTTTGAATTCTATATGCCGAATAAAGAATTTTTCGCACTTATTACATTGGGATATAATTTTAACACTTTCCACTCGGGAGTCGGACTGTTAGTCGGTCCGCTGCGCTCGAAATATTATAGTGCTATACATATCTCTCAACTGGGAATTTTTTTTGTATCAATTTTTTCAAAATGTGGTAATATTGCTTTCAAATACAGTTATTATGATAATAAAATAGAAAATATTTAAATTAAATTCATAGTATTCAAAACGCAAAATCGTGATAAGAAATATTTAGAATTTCATCATTCTTCTATTATATATAATATTTTGTATCATATATAAGGAAATGATTTGTATGTTCCTAGTTGCAACGAACGCATTTGCGTACTATATACTTTTTACAATAGATTATCTCTTTTAACTTGAATAAATTGCCTATCGTGAAAAATGGAGAAATAATCAATTGTTAATTGTAGCATCTGACACGAATAGAAATTTCCATAACTATTTAAATGTATATATGTATATATATAAATATTTATATATATATATATAAAATAACATCTCTAGTAAAATTTATATCTCAAATAATTATGGGGCTCATAAGCTAATAAATTAATTTTGTTATATATTTATTTATAAAATTAATAAATTTATCAATAAATGAATGTAATAATGAATTAATTTCAAAAGAATAAAAAAAAAATATTGTAAGTTTAGTTTGCGACGACACGAGCGGCATCCGAACAGAACGGTAAAATGACTATGCCGCCGGAGCGGCGACATCCGAGTCGAAAGGGTTAATTTTTACTATAAATATTTTTGATGATTTAATACATTTTTCTTCAACGGAACATCCAGCTTGTTGTTTTCCTAAATACTTACTATCGAGAACACGAATGTGTATAAGTATATACTTGAATTTATATTTCAAATATAATCAAGGTATTTGTTTTTGTTATTTAAACAGTTTGATGTGAAAATATTTGAATCACACTATTTAGTATTTTTTTATACTTCATAATTTATTACTCAGTAAGCTCAAAAAGTTCGAAATGATGATTTTTTTATGTCTAACCTACATAGTATCATAATACTGCAAGATATGTTTCCAGTCCGTCACTAATTTATTAGTTCAATGTACAAATATACCATTACCATCGCCTCAATTTATTAATGGTTTTACTAATCGCGTCTATTCAAATCATTTTACCATTCGCCGATTTGCTAATTTACAGCCGCGGGTCAGTGCGAGCCAGAAGTCCTACTGTAGCCGGAACTGATCAGGACGACGTTCTCTTGTCTGCTAGGAACCGCGTGCAGTTCGCTCGGCGACATAATCAAGTCCTCAGGGGACACATAAGGATCTCGCCTGTCTATACTCATCCCCGACACGTCCACAAATTGTTCGAACCTATCTGATGATCCGACATCTAAATCATGATCTCCTTCGTGATTTTCAAATGGCACTCGGACTTCGTGCAATTCACTTCCTTCGGCTACTCTGTCTTCTTCATCTTCATCTACTGCTTCATCGACTTCCTCGAATTTTGGTAGTGAATCTATACTTTGATTTTTTGCGTTGCTCTCAGCTACTTCCACAAACGATTTAGATATGTCGCCGTTCAGTTTGCTGACGGCCTTGCTGGCTAGATCGTACATGAAGATTTCTTTGTCTTTAGCACCGTGACTTTCTTCGGTTCTATGAAGAAATATTAAAAAACTATATTAAAATATCTATAAATGAATACAAAAACAAATTTTAAATTAATTAATGAATGTAAAGAGTATATTATGAATATGATTGATAATTTCATACTCAAAAAGATATGTGTGAAATAAATGTAAAATGTGCTTCGTTGCATTGGTAATATTATTTATAAATTTATTTTTTCGAAGTAAAATCAAATTTTCAACAAATTTGGAATACTAAAATTAGAAAAAAATAAAACTCTCGCTAAAAAATTAATATATATGCAGATTCACAATTTATAATTGATAGTTTCATGAATGCATGCAAATGTATCTTATTATAATTTTATTATGTTATTAACTTCCCGTAGGGTAAGTTATTGTAATGGACCGAAAATCGAAATTGAAAATTTTTACATTTCTCGACGTTTTGAAGGTTTCTGAACGTTTTGACATACCTCAGAAATAATGGATAATAATATGTGTGTGTGTATGTATATATGGATACAATTTTTCGTCCACGTTTTCGGGCGCACGGATCAACTGATTTAAATGGTTCAAAAAATCATTCGATTCTTATTGATAGGGAGATGTGCTGATTAGTTTTTGGCAAAGGCAGGTCCAGCAGTTACGGAGATAAAGAGCAAAGAGTGCAGAAAATAGAAATCAAATTTTTGAGAGAACGAAGCGTCCGATTTTAATAATTCAAAAAACATTTTACTTGTATTGACAAGATAAAAAATTGGTCAAAAATTTATAAAGGCAGGTCTAGCGGTTTCGGAGATCTAATGATAAAAGTAAAAAAAAATGCCATTTGGCGGTCAAAAATGATCATTAGACATATGCACATCAAATTATCAGATATTTTATAGAGATTTTAACAATAAGTATAAATTTTGTTTACATTTTTATAGGTTCCGTACCAATCTTTTTCCGTTAGACAGCGACGCGGCGCTTACGCGCTTTATATTTTGTCTCTATGCAGTTAAAGCAGTACGCTTGCTTTGAAAAATAGTTCAGATTTTCCAAATTATGTCAAAATAAAAAAAACATTTTTTTTTAGTTTTTTTTTTCAAAAAAAAGTAATTTTTTGTCCAATTTATAGTTTCTCATAAATCTTATTTTTTCGAAGTAAATTTTTTTCAAAAATGTTAATCGTTTTTAAAATAATAATGATTTTTGGTACAGGAAGTTCCAGCAATTTGCCTTAAGGCACGATGCATTAATTGCCTTAAGACAGAATTCCACTTACAGCTAGTTTCATACTTAAAAAGATATGTTTGAAATAAATGAAAAATGTGCTTCGTTGCATTGGTAATATTATTTATAAATTCATTTCTTCGCAGTGAATTTTTTTTATTTCTTTTTCAAGAAATTTGGAATATTAAGTATAAAAAAATATCAAACTCTCGTTAAAAATTAATATATATTTTCACTACAATTTATAATTGATAGTTCCATGAATGCATGCAAATGTGTCTTATTATGATTTTATTATGTTATTTTTAATTATGTTTTATTTTATTTTTATATATTTTGTGAAAATAACTTTTCACTTATATTCGATAATTCAATTAAGTATATTAATATATTAATAATTATATAATAAATTTTATAGATGCTACTGAATATGAAAAGAATTTATTTTCATGAAGGAATCAAAATCATAATCATATCTAATTAATTTCGTATTTTTTTAATAAATATAATTTTTCTGTTCTACCTAAATAATTGGAATAAAATCTGTGACCCGTTAGGAATATACATCAAATGCTCAAATATGAAATTTCGAATATGTCTTTTACGAAAAAAACTGTTATGAATTTATAATTATATTATTCTAACACAATGCGGTATGCAAAATATTTGAATGTCAAAGATTTGGGCTAGTCTCGGCCGTAACACATGTGACCTAGATTTATTCAATTCATCGCCAGTTTATTTGCAAAATGACTCACCCGGTAACTAGTAAGACAACAGCTTGGTTCTCCAGTGGAGTACCGCTCTCCTTGTCCAGCCAGCGCTTGAAATTTTCGCGAGAGGGTTTCTTAACTAATTGCTTAAGAGCTTCTCCTGCTAAGTACCTAGCACTTTCTTCTTCACCTTGAATCGCTCTTTCAAATCTACCACTTTCCTCATCGTCGTTATCTGATTTCTGTAAATAATCTGCATCTACAGGTGCTAATACAACGACCGATGTTATCATTCTGCCTTTAAGTTCTGGGGCATCAGGAATTGGAAATTGGGCACCATTTACTTTTAGTGGCAAATATTTATTGAATTTTGAATCGTTTATATCTACGGGATCTAAATATGTTGCATCCTTTCGTATGTAACTATCGGCGAGTGATTGTCCCTCTTTTGTGTTGGGGTCAAAGTGCACAACTTTCATTTCTACTTTCTGTTTTTTGTTGGGATGGAGTTTTTTCAAATCACTGTAAGTTTTAATAATTTCCGATGCTTCCGCTTCTGTATCGGCATCCATTTCATCTTGATCATGAATTTTCTTTCCTTCTTTGGTGACGACGGTTTGAACTCGGTTCGAACTGGCAATTTGTGCAGCACCACCTGCTCCGTAGAAGTTTGCTAATTGATCTGGAGGCAAAGCTTCTATTGGTATATCTCCAACTTTATCGTAATCTAAGACGCTAATAGAAGCATGATCTAGGATTCCAGATGATAATAATTGCTGACGCAACTCATCTGGTACTTCATCGGGTAATTCAATATTCAAAGGCTTTTTCGATGTTGTAGGTTCAGATTTTTGCGTTGTTGTTGTTGCGCTAGTAGTTGCTCGTTCTGTAGTAGAATATGATCTGCTGACTGAACTTATAAATTTAGTCGTGCGTGATGTTACAGGGCTAGGCGCTGTTGATTGTTGATGGGAACCTAACGAACTATGCTTTAAATATGACTCGTATGATTGATCATCAAATTGATTTAAATTTACAGGCCTTCTCGGTTCTAATTGAATCACTGGATTTATGGTATCTCTGTTTGATGACAATTGAGGTCTATGCAATTGATGTTGGAAATTATTTATACTCAAAGAGTTATCTTTTTGCTCTAAGCTGTCTTGATTAAATAATTTGCTTGGCGGTGTAACAAAAAGTGGAGCATCTTGTTGTGGTCGTCTCTGAGGAGTGACAAATTGTTGCTGGAGTGGTTGGACAGGTTGTGCTTGTGGTGTCGGTGCTAATACTGAGGACTGCGAGTTGTAGTTTTTGATGGCGTTGTAATCAAATTGTTGTTGCACTTGGTGTCTGAATTGATTTGGACTCAACGGAATATTTCTATTACTGTTATGAGGTGAAATACTTTGCGATTGTACAAATGATTGCTGTGACAATTGCTGCGTTGGTTCAGATGGCTGAACTGATGGAAAACCATGTGTAAGTAGAGGGTTTGGAACATCAGATGGCACAGACAAGTGCTGTTCAAATTTAGGAATTGATTGTACGAGTTCTCCTCCTGCTGGAATTATATGTGGATGTTGCTGTTCGAGCCCTTGCAGATTTTGGTGTTGGCTATTACTCACTTGTGGAATAGATGGTCGCTGTGAAGGTCCTGGGAAAGGTAGAGATGGTGTAGGTGGTAAAGGCCTTTGATTCAAATGCTGTTGCTGACTTGTAAATTCTTGTTGCTGGCGATATTCTTGTTGTTGGCGTTGTTGTTCTTGTACTCTAAATTCATGTTGACGTTGTTCTTGTAATCTTTGTTCTCTTTGACGCTGTTCATATTGTTGCTGATCTTGTTGGACTTTCAACTCATGTGCACGTTGCAAATCTCTAATCCTTTGCTCTTGCTGTCTTCTTTCTTGTTCTCTAAATTCTCGTTCTTTTTGCTCATGTTCTCTGAGTTGAATTTGTCTCAGTTCTTGTTGTCGTGCTTCTTGTGTTCTATACGCTTCCTGCTGCCTTAGTTCGTGCTGCCGTTGCTCTTTTCTTATTTCAGCTAACCTAAATTCTTCTCGTTCACGTTGCTCTTTCAATCTTTGTTCTTGTTGCCTTTGTTCAAATTCTAATCTTTGTTGGCTTATAGTGTGATAAGGTTGTTGTTGTAATGGCTGATTGAATCGTGGTCGATTGAAAGGCACCCTTTGATTCTGATGGGGAAGCTGTTGATGTGTCGGAAGAGGAGAAGGCGGTGTAAATCTTTGGAAACTTCCAGGTGGTGTAGGCCTGAAATTTAAGCCGCCGGTTGGAGGCACTGGGCGATTTGGACCGAAATTATTGTAGAAATTTGGCAATGCGGGTCCTTGGAATTGATGAGGTGTTCTGAAACTTGGTGGTGGTTGAGGTAATGGCAATTGTTGTCTATTTGAGAAGTGTTGTAGTTTTGTGTTTTATGATCAAATGTTTGTTGAAAATGCTGATAATTTTGTGTTTGATAAGTTAATGGTTCTTGGCGTTTAATAAAGTGCGGCGGAGGCGGAGGAAGAACGGGTCGCAATGGAGCTTTTTGAAAAGCTGTAAATGGAGTTTTCACTCGTGCGGACGTAGGTTCTGGTAACAAAACTTTAGGTTGTGGTTGTGGAAATACGACTCGCGGTTCTGGAGCTGATTCTTCGTGTTCTTCATGTAAAATTTTTGGTTTTTGCTCATTACCAAAACTAACATGAATGCCGCTATTGCTGTGGAATCTTTCCGAATCTGGATGGATGATAGTTCTCAAAGTAGTTGAAGGTGGTGGCGGTAAAGTTGGTATATGCTCTGGGGCGCTCGTGGTTTCTTCGTAATGCTCTCGCTCAACTGGTGGATGGGGCGTTAAAGCCGGAATTGGCGTATCGTACTTTACTCCGTCTTTGCTATGAGCATCTTTTTGATATTTTACATAAAAGACCTGTACGGGTTCTCGTTGTTTCTTCGTTTGCTGAACAACGGGTTGAGGTAGAGCGGGTAACGTCTCATTCGACTCTTTTATTATAATTTCAATGATTGGCTCAGGAGCTTCATAGTAGTGAGGGTAGTGACCACCTTCTCCATACTGCGGCCTGTTATTTGGGACGTGAATCGAGTTACCAAAGTACTGAGCGTCCAAATGATTGCCTTCTCCAAATTGGTCCATGGGTGGAGCAAAAGCAGCATATCTCGATTCATACAGAGGATCACGTTGTGAATAATGGGGTAATGGTTCCATTTTAACCGCGTACGGCGGCGTTACATTTGGCGACCATGACCTTCTTAAGAGTCTTGCAGAATTTTGTCGTGGAGAGGGTGTTGCATCTTTCTGACGATACGATGCCACGTGCGAGTGTGGCAGAGTCAGAGAATACTCAAGATTTCTTTTGTCTCTAATGTCAGACGGAGTTTCGGAAGGCTTTTCGCTCGTTTTCGTTTCGCTTTTCTTATCGGCCTCTGCCAAAATTACTGTGGCCAGGGCAAGCAGTATCTGAAAAAGAAATGCAATAGTAAATATCAAACATATACTTAAATTTGTCTCTCTTAAAATCTATAAGCTTAAATAGCTAATAAATATAAATAAATAAAATATAACAATTATAACAATTTAACGGCCATGATTTGGTGCATTTAAAATAATATACTAACACCGATCAAGCATATTAATAAATAATATATTGTTAAACTTCTATTCGATCACTTTCTAAGATCGAATTATTGGACGCAGTTTTGTCTAGTCATATAAGTATAAAAAATATGTTCGATTATAAATGAAAGTTACAAAAATTTATGAACAACAGATAATTTACAGAACAAGACTGCACAAGATGCGGAAGATATTTACTTGCAATTATCTAATATCCGGGCATACCTTTTAATGGATTATCGATAACCGTTAAACTGTGCGTAAATGATTATATTGGAGGAGAATCTTTATGTAAACTGTTACTAGTTAATTACTACCAATTTACTAATAGACATTGAATAAACTTAGATGAACAGCGAATAAATTATTCATACATAAGTGAGTTTGTTAAGCTCAAAGATATCCTTTTAAATTAGCTTAAAATAATACCGCATGAATTCTATATTTGTTTGTTTTTAGCTTGGTTTAAATACAATTCTCATTCAATTGTCATTCAATGTCTATACCATATATAAATGTAACTATTGATGTTATAAAATACTAATAATTTATAATACATCAAGATAATTACTTAATTTTGTTCAAACGTTGGCATGCACTAATTTCATATGAAACAAAATCATAAAAACTAATCACGATGTCTTCAATTGAACAAAATAAAACCCGTGAGTAAGACCGGAAGGTATTATTATTATTTCGTGTTATTTTAATGGTAACATCGATACAGCCCCAGGCATATTGTTACTATTTATTCGACTGCCGATAGAAATTGCTGATTGTATTATTATACAGCGAATATACATACAATGAACAGCAATAATTTAATTAATTAATTGCCTTGTTCATACATCAATTATCATGTAATTATTTATTAACATGTACTAGCTGAAAATTACGAGCTGCTGCGAACAAACCTTTCACTAAATCTCTAATTCAATTTTATTTTAATGATCAATAAAATATGAACTAGATCATTATAACTAATTCTAGCTGTGTTTGCTATATTAGGATTGAAATAATAATTAATATAAATACTACTATTAACTTCCCGTAGGGTAAGTTATTGTAATGGGCCGAAAATCGAAATTGAAAATTTCCACATTTCTCGACGTTTTGAAGGTTTCTGAACATTTTGGCATACCTCAGAAAAAATTGATGTGTGTGTATGTGTATATGTATGTATGGATATAATTTTTCGGTCACGTTTTCGGGTGCACGGATCAACCGATTTAAATGGTTCGAAAAACATTCGATTCCTATTATTAGGGAGATGTGCTGATTAGTTTTTGGCAAAGGCAGGTCCAGCAGTTACGGAGACAAAGAGCAATGAGTGCAGAAAATAGAAATCGAGTTTTTGAGAAAACGGAGCATCCGATTTGAATGATCTAAAAAAACATTCAATTAGTAATGGTTGGGAAAAGTGTTTGTTAGTTTTTGGCAAAGGCAGGCCTAGCCATTTCGAAGATACGGAGCAAAATGTGCAAAAAATGGCAGTTTTTGAGAGAACTAAGAGTCCGATTTAATTGATTCGAAGAATTTTCTGGTGTCTTAACAAAATAATTGATTTTGAAATAAAAATCAAAAATTTTTTTCAAATTTTTTTTTGTATATCGAAAATAATTAAGATTATATTTTTAATTCTGACTATAGTTCTAATATACTTTAAACAAATAATTTCAACTTTGCAATTAAGTTTATATATTTCTTATAAATATTAGACAATGTTAAAGTATTTATTTATAATAGTCTATTTGAAATCATTTAATATTCCTCGAACATTTCGTTACGGTACGGGAAGTTCCAGCAATTTGCCTTTAGACACGATGACATACATCCCACTAGTTTGGTATATTTAGATTAAAATAGTAATTAATATGAACACTAAATGGAATTGGTTTGTTTTGCATTATTAAACACATTCAGCTCAAAAATATGAGTAAGATAAACCTATAGTACATGTATGAAAATTTTACCAAATCACGTTGCTATTTAGTTATTATTCTATATAAATGTTGCAAATTTTTAGAAAATAGTTACATAAAAATTAGTTATAATCTAGCTAAATCATTTAATATTCCTCGAACATTTCGTTACGGTACGGAAAGTTCCAGCAATTTGCCTTTAGGCACGTTGACATACATCCCACTAGTTTGGTATATTTAGATTAAAATAGTATTATAATTAATATGAACACTAAATGGAATTGGTTTGTTTCGCATTCAGCTCAAATATATGAGTAAGATAAACCTATAGTATACGAGTATGTATGAAAATTTTACCAATTTTCATATTCAGGGTATTTTCAACTTTAAAGTGAGTGTATATTTTACAAAAAACAATGTATATATTAAGTAAGTCACTTGATAAATCCAACTTGAATAAGTTTTAACTATTTTATCAATTTATTTAACATACTATATTTAAAATACTACAATACTTATAGATACTTGTTACTATATATAAAAATCAAATAATTCTGCTGTGAATATTAGTTCAGAGTTATAATTTCAAATATATTGATTTTCTATATTTAATTTTACTCATTTCGAATTTTTTGCAAGCAAAATATGTAGTTTGTCTCACATATTATGCGTTAGTCCTTAAAAAACAAAGTGTACTGTAATATCTTCCGGAGATAAAATCTATTTTTGAAAAAGGTATCTACATTTGATTAGTTTAAATACTCTTAATGTATAATATAATAATTTATTAAAAATTGAGAAATTTATTAATAGATAATTCTCGTATTTGTTTAATTTCTCAATTAAAAAATATTCTTGTTAAAAACTGTTAACTACCTACATACAAATGAAATAAGACATTTATCATATTGATTTATTCCTAATGCAATTCATCCGCCAGGTATAATTCATTCTAATTATTCATCTCAGCTCGGAGCTGCACTCCATATAATAACAATCAGAAAATTGCTTCATAATTTCTAATCCGCCTTTGGGCTAATCGTCGTTTATAAATATTGATTCCGTTTTCAATATAACAAGCGATTATATAGAACGTGACATGCTCAAATCGAGCACTGAAAGTGATCCGAAGTAATTTTCTTGACACCTGATCTTGGACATGACCGCGGGCACTTCAATTTCAGGCAGACGATTAATGAAACTGGTTTAAAACATTTTGTTAGTAAAAAAGTCATAAAGTAGACTTGGATAAGAAATTATGTGTCAACTTAGGAATCGTAAAATTTAATTTATTAATCTTATTAATGAATCAGTCGCTCAATTAAGATATTGTTGGGCTTGTAAATCTGAGCTAGAGAGATATGGTTGACCTGGACATATTGACTTTTTTTAACTAGTAGATCAATATTGTTTTGAACACATTTTTGTTGTTGTTAGATTTTTTAATTATCTAGAATAATGCTTAAGGTAACTGATGGGATATCTACTACTACCTTGATACCAGAAAAAACTAGTGGTCTATGGCATCATGTCTTAAGGCAAATTGCTGCAACTTGCCATACCATAACAAAATGTTCGAGAAATATTAAATATTTTTAAGTAGATTATTATAAATACTGTAACATTGTCTAATATTTATTTAAGATATATAATAGTTTAAATTATTTATTTAAAATATATTAGTGAGCTTCAGAACTTTAGCCAGAATTAAAATTAAAACCTGAATTATTCTCGATATACAAAATAATTTTTTTTTGTCAAAAAAATTAGCTTTGCAATATTTTTTTTCCAAAGCAATTATTTTGTCAACACAAGCAGAAAGTTTTTTGAGTAATTTAAATCGGATGTTTAGTTCTCTCAAAAACTGCAATTTTTATGCTCATTCAGCTCTGTTTCTTCGAAATGGCTGGACCTGCCTTTGCCTAAGACGAATTCCACCACTTCTCTCAGACATTACAAATTGAATCATTCAAATCGGATACTCCGTTTCTATTTTCTGCACTTTTGCTCCGTATCTCCGTAACTGTTAGACCTGCCTTCGCCAAAAACTAATCAGCACATCTCCCTGTCAATAGGAATCGAATGTTTTTTGAACCATTCAAATCGGTTGATCCGTGTGCCCGAAAACGTAGATAAAAAATTGCGGACACACAAAACACACACACACACATCTATTTTTTCTGAGGTATGCCAAAATGTTCAGAAATCTATGAAACGTGAAAATATGCAAGCATTTTCATTTTTGAAATTTGGAAATATAATGAAAATCCATTTTGCTGAGACGTAGAAACTACTGTATTTTTCATACTAAATTATTATAATATGAAAAAATATTTCGAATGAATTAAAATTATATATCAACTAAAATTATATTTCAACATTATTATAATGATAAAATTTGCACTAATTGCAAGTGTTTGTGGGGAAATTATTTACATAATTTTATATGAAAATTGCTATGTAAAGAGTATGATGTTTATCGATGAAATGCATGGTTGATCAGGAAAAATGATTAGATATGTGGATGAACTATGAAATTAATTAAGATTTTTAATTAGAACTGATAAATTATAATTATCGATTTGAGAGTGATTGGTTTTCAATTGTTCGATCCATATTTGGTTTCCATATTTAATTTTTGAAAACTTCATCTTTTTAAGTACTTGAACTAATTTGAAACATATATTGTTCTTCATCTTTGATCATTTCTTCTTTAAAATGCTTTTAGTAAAAATAACACGTACAAAAATTATGTATAACATATGTTTTTACATGTTTTAGAAAATCTTATCAATCATGAATTACTTCAATAAAAAGTAACGATAGTTTTTTTTATAGAATCAGCATTAACAATGATTATTTATTATTTTTATGAGTTCGCTCTGAGTGATTAAACAAAATCATTTGCTCACGTTCACCAACTCATTACATTTCTCTTGTCAATGGAAAAGTACTTATGGTTATAATTGCCTCAGTACTTATCAGTAATAGTAATTTCAAATCGTATTAACGATTCGAGTGGAATATATATATATATATATATATATATATATATATATATATGATAATTATATCTTCAATTACTCTACAGATCGCATTAGTTAACACTCTGATTTAGACTCTATAATAAATATATTATAGGTGCATAGATTAATCATAAAGTAATTTTTTCATTATCTTCATACTTAGTTTAGAAAATAAACTTTTTTATTGTTAGAAGCCTATATTATATTGCTAATACTTTTATTTATAATATTGTTAGCTAATAATTCAATAATTCTCCCAAAATCAATATTAGATTAGTTTGCAAGCAGCATAGGAAAACTCATTATCCTTCAAGTTATTTTTGGTATAAGGTGTAATAATAAATAGAAGATTCATGATTTTATTTTACTGCAAGTGACCTTTTATCGAAAAAAAATAATATTTTATTAACTTTCCGTAGGGTGAGCTATAGCAATCGCAAAAAAATTGAAAATGAAAATTTTTATATATCTTTACGTTTTAAAGGTTTTCGAATATTTTGGCATACCTTAGAAAAAATGGATGTGAGTGTGTATGTATGTGCGTGTGTGTGAATTTCCAAAATATATCAAAATAAAAAAACAGTTTTTTCCGAAAGTTTTTTTTTCCATTTTTTTTTTAAATTTAAAATTTTTCAAAACTCATTTTTTTCAAAGTTTTTATAAAAATTAATTTTTGGTACGGGAAGTTCCAGCAATTTGCCTTAAGTGCACGATGCCATTCACTTAAAAATATTTTTTTTTACGTTTTTGGGTAGTGAAATGTATCCTTTTTAAGAATCTTTGATCAAAATAATTTAATAAACAGTTAGATAATCAATATGAATTAAACAATTCATAAGAAATCAAGAATTATAAATATATATTAACATAATGTAGAATGAATATTAACATAATGTAGAAAGCAATATTAATTTTGCGTTAAACACATTAAATTAAACACACAATTACAAGAACACATTGAATCTTTAAATACTTTTATTGAATTAATAATAATATATGCAATAATTTTCTAGAGATGTTACTTTAAACTAGGTAATTTTTTTTAATATAATATAACATATAAATTGATTTGGCTTTTTGTTTAACATTAGTCATTTACACAATTTACATAAATTTTTAATTTTATAATATTCTGTATTGTAAAAGTAAATTATTATTTGCTTAATTAAAAATATTACACTCACACTAATTTTACATTCTTGTAAGAAATATACTTTAATGTTTTGTGAATAGAGTAAGCTAGAAATAAATTATTTTTTTAATATCTAATTTATATATTCGACTTAAAAAATTTGGATCTTTAAGATATGTATTTTTTACTTCTAATATCAGATTCTGCTCAAATTCTTCAAATTCGCCTCATGAGCATCTGTTGTTATTAACAATTTTCATTTTATATTATTGTATAAATGTGTAATATTCGAAAATTTATGTTTGAAATACTATTTCTGGTTAAGTGCTATTATTACATTCTCGTGATTTAAGCTTTTAGGTTTATTAAATAAATAACCTTCAAGGCGTTTAATGACTGTTTCCCAGATTCTCTACCAAAAATAGGTGTATTATACGAATGTGTCATAATATAATTGCTTTTGGCTTTGTTCTCGAAATTCCTCAATTTCTAGTGAAACACTTACTGAGATTTCTTATTTAGATTTCCATCAAAAACAGGATGTCATCTATCCGCTTCGACAGTCTAGAAGCCTTTCGTTTATTTATTACAAGGGCATAAGATTGCTTCGTGATATCATTACTATTTTTATGAACTAAGTGAAAATGATACAGATCACATTTTATGAGGCTTCTGTAATGGTTAGATTCATAAATTATCTAAGAAAATAGGCCATGTTATTGGCCTATTAGCTTGGAAAATTGATGAATTTGATGTAGCTCACGAGTCTTTTACAAGATCAAAGTTTTAAAAGACTTTTAAATAGGTACTGATGAAAACTTGTAACTTAGCTACAAAGTAATAAATAATTATTTTATATGAAATATCCCATTTGATGTGGCTTCTACAATGGTTAGATTTATATATTATTGATAATTGGTATTATTATTGGCCTACTTTTTTGGAAAATGGATCTAGTTGATGTAGCTCACAAGTAATTTGCAACATCAAACATTTAAAAGACTTATAAATAAATACTGAATAAAACTCATAATTTAGCTACAAATCATTGATTAAATATTCTATATAAAATATCCCAAAATATTATGTGGTTTCAGTAATGATTAGATTCATATATCATAGTTTATTGGTATTATTGGCCTATTTTTTGGAAAATGGATCTTGTAGCACAAGACTTTTTCTACATCAAGACTTCTAAATGAATTCTGAACAAAACTTGTAATTTAGCTACAAATTATTAAATAAATATTCAGTTGTAATAGTTGTATTTATATAGTCTATAAACCGATTTTTATAGATTGGCTAAAGTTGGCTTAAATTAAATTAAAATATAATTAAATTAATTTAAATTGAATTTTAAATAAAATGGATATTATTACCTTAAGATTTTTAAAGCAATACTATATTCTGTAGTCTAGTTATGATTATATTTTTGTACTAAAATACTAAATTCATTATTTATTGATTTTATTTCTGGCACATTTTCTTGATTAGTTCATTATTTTTTTTAACAAATTTAAATTATAAATGAATTCTCCTTCTGTAGGTACTTTTAGACCTAGGCAAAGACCTATTATAAAAATGTTAAGTTAAGAATAAACCATGAATAAGTATTCTTTTGCAACAGTTTGAAATATTATTAATTTTGCTTAGGATTGAATTGAAATAAATGAATTGTGAACTCGGTATTATTACTATTACTAATACCTATTAGATCTTATATTTTTTTGGTATTTACAATTTTCAACCAAATTTTAGTATGTGTTTACAATTTTCTCAATCAAAATTTTTAATTACCTCAAACATTTACATATATTTCTACAAATTTTAAATCTTAGTCGTTTTTAGTGATTTAGTAGGACTTATACTTGACTGGTTTGAATAGAAACCAATTCAAATATTCATAATGAGAATCTTTTCTATTAGTTTTTCTAAATTCTCATTTGTTTCTTAAATATCATATCATCTTACTTGAAGCATGCAATCCAAATGAGGATCTTGCTTCATTTTCTGGTCTGTTGGTTGTGCGATCACTTTTTGTAAAAACAATTATGTAAATGTTTTATTATTAAATTGACTTATGTTTATATATACACACACACACACATATATATAATATATATATATATATATATATATATATATCGGTTTCAATGTAATAAGACATTTTATGTATCCGATACCCAAGTTTGTAATTATAATGCATATATTTACGCAATATCGCATATTATATCATATATTGTACTATATTTTACAATTTCTAGAAAAAACGATCAACTTTCAGTTTCCTGCAATATCTGAAAATGTCAGACATCTGTCGTTATATTAACTACGATCGTATAGTAATTATATTACTCTTCTTATTTGATCTGATACTCTACATAAATTAGAATTACTATCCAGCGTTTGTACCAGTGGAGGATTTTCATAGATTTAATAATAAAATTAACATTTTTATTATTTTCGAAACTTATATTAATTAAACTGTGTTAAAATATTTTTTGAGTAATATTTTAATGTGTTATTTATCTATAATGTACATGTTTTATAAATTTTGTATATTAAATTAATATTTTTATAGAGGTTCAATTAATATTATTAATTAAACCTGTATAAAAATTTATTATTATTTTCATATAGGTTTAAGTTTAATGTTAAATTTGATCTTTAAATTGATTTTAAAATTTCAGAGGCGTACAGTTATAGAAGTGAAAAATAGTTCCAAAAAATCTATGTGAATTCTGCCAGCACATGAGTGAGTAATTTATAGCCTTGGAAATCTTCAGGTAATTCTATGAATTTGATTTTATAAAATTCAATTTAAATTATTTTGATCATATTTCAATTTATTGTAAATGAAATTGAAAGCAATTTTGTTAATACATGGAAAACCATTAATAAATAATATTAAATACTTACTAACAATAATAAGTATTTAAATCAAACAGTTTAAATTTCACAAACTCGTACTTCTACTAAATGAATATTTCTGAAAATTCAAGCTAAAAATTAAATTAAATGCTGAGTTATTAATTAAATTACTGTTAGAATTGTCATATTTATTAACTGAAAATTTTTGCTTATCTTTACGTTTCGAAGGTTTCTGAACATTTTGGCATACCTCAGGAAAAATGGATGTGCGTTTGCGTGTATGTATGGATACAATTTTTCGTCCATTTTTTCGGGCGCACGGATCAACCGATTTGAATAGTTCAATCGATTCAAAAAGCATTCGATTTCTATTGATAGTGAGATGTGCTGATTAGTTTTTGCAGTTAAGGTGCAAAGAGTGCAGAAAATAGAAATAGTGAGATGTGCTGACTAGTTTTTGAGAGAAGTAGCATCTGATTTGAATGATCTAAATAACATTCAATTCGTAATGATGGGGAGAAGTGGTTATTAGTTTTTGACAGAAGTCCAGCGATTTTACAGATACGGTACTAATTGTGCAAAAAATCGTAGTTTTTGAGAGAAATAAGCATCCGATTTTATTGATTCTAAAAACTTTCTGCTCTTGTTGACGAAACGATCATTTTTGCGGAAAAAAATTTTTGAATATCGCAAATAATTCAGATTTTCAAACATTACATTAAAATTTTTTAATAGCTATTAATATGAGTATAGGTAACATGATCTGATATTCAAGGAGTTATTAAGGAGTTTTCTTCTGAGATGCGTTGATTGTATTTTTGAAAATACTTCTTTTGCCAATGAGTTGGGAAAATAAAATACGTTATAAATTAGAAAAAAATCTCAAGGTATACAAGGTTTATTAATTATTAAAATATTGAGCTGTTCCTAAAATACTTTGCAAGCGAGTTGTTGTATGTAATGAAGAAAAATCAATAATTTATCTTCTGATACTCTTATCTCCTAAATGCTTCTCTGTTATTTATACATACACCTATTGGCTTGATTATTATTAATTTATTATTACTTATATAATAACAAGTAACAAGTATGTCTATAGAACAAATATTATCCGTACTATACCGTAGTTACATGTCCATTATGCAACGGCGGATATGATTTACTTTTCTCTTATTGCGAACTAATAAGCCGTGGCGAAGAAAATATATGAGAATATATCAAGAGGTTCTTATCGACATTACGAATCATGTTTCAACATTAATTTTGTTCGATAAAAACGTAGTCGAGAGATGATAGAAAAATTTCACTTCGAGGTTTTTCTCGAAAGTAGATTATTATATGATTCCACAATATGGAGCGGATTATGTAGTAACTTAATTGGACTAATTAGAAATAATGAGGCATCTTATCGATTTTTTTAAGATGCTACTCAAACTATGTCAAAATGTTGTATAATGTTTTACTATTGTAGCAATAGTAATAAGATAACATCAAATAATTGATTTTACTTAAGAATAAAATTATATTTATGACGTTTTAAAGCTTTTTACTTTGTGAGATGAACTCCTAAATGAACGGGTTGTAGTTGAATGATAGTTTTTGTTTTAGTATGAAAATTCATCATAGAATATTTATAATAATCATATTTTTGGTCTTATTACAGAAATATCGATTTTATTCTAAATCAGTATATATATAATGTTCTAAAATTTTGAACAAGGGATTTGCAAGGGTCAAGTAATTATTTCTATAATTTCAATAATATAATTAAATAAGAAATCTTTATTATAAAAATAGATTTTAATTTTATTAATATGAGATACAATTGAATTTTTAATGATACTTTAAAAACAGTCAGAACTCAATTTATTAAAAAAAGTTGGTGCCAACTCAAGCTTTAGTTCAAGAGCTTTCTTGAAACAAAATTATAATCTTACTATTTACCTGTTTTCTATACATAATAAAACGTAAAAAAATCTTAAAAACTTAATCTTATCGTGAATTTAGGGATAAAACTCAACACGTGAAGGTTGAAATCTAATAAACTGAATTAAATATTTGTCGAAATTCAATATTGTAAACCTGAAATTATCATCTTTTACTCTTTGAACTTAGTTATTAAAGGGTACTTTTGTATTTTCCATATTAAACAGCCAGTTCTAACCTCTAGATTATTATAAATTTAAAGGTTGCCAATAGTTTTCATCAACACATTCTTTTTACTATCCTGAGTTATTAGCGTGGGTAGTATATATAATTTTATTAATTTTCTAATAATTTTTCATACAGAACTTTCAATAGCCTTGAGTAAATTTGCAATATACAAAGTAGCAATTTTAATCTTGTAGAACTTTATGTGCTTCTAAAGCTAAAATGTGAAAAGATGAAGGTGGGTTAAACATATTTTCTTGAATGTAGTAATAAGATTTCTAATATGCCAAACTGGCCTTTGGAAATTCTGCAGATACAAATAGACAGCAAATTTTAATTCAAATCAATATTTTTAAAATATTATGATTGGCTTTAAATTAAAATTCAAATCTAAACTAAAAGCAAACTCGTAAACTGATAGAAACTATGACGAAACCCTGACCAAACTTATTGCAAAGATTTTTATTTAATTTAATCAGAATGCAGATGGGGACACAGAGCTTTTCAGTAATAATCATTTATAATGCTATATTAATAGAAATGTATAAAATGCGATAATGAAATGTGTAAAATTATTCTCTATCTCTCATAATTGTTTACACTTTCATTGGCTAATCTTCAAGCTAATTCGCTTCATGATAATTTTAGAAATTATTTATTTTTAATTTTTATATTTATTTTTGAAAAATATACATAAAACGTATTGTGATAAATTCTTATTTGCATGGTAAATTTGAGTTATAATTTTTATTTATTGTAAGTGTATTAAATGAGAGCCTTTCCATTCAATTACATCTGTAACTATAATTTTCCATTTCAATCACAATTAAATATGGAAATTCAATACCAAAGTTATTAATATTAGAAATTGAAATAGCATGATTACGATATAATACGATTTAACTTAATCTAGATTTAAATATACATACAAACATTTATATATTATTAAACTAAAACCGATCAAATCTGCGTTAATGCAATTTTGATTTACTTCCACTTTTTTCTAAATCCACAAATCTGTTTTTTCTCTTTAATTGCAGATCATATTACTACATTCACTTTTATCATAGGTTATATACTATATTTGTGGGATTTTAGGTTCATCGAACGATTTTGTTTTTATATTTAAAATACAGTGAAAGATAAATTATGGCTTATGAAACATCATTTATTCATGCATCGTACAAAAATGATCATAAATCGTGCATTGATGAGCTTTCGCTTTTTATAGGAGATTGTCATATTATAAGATTTGATTAGAATCGATACCGTATAGATTAAAGATTAATTATTTTCTCTCATCTTTGCATATATTACGAAATATTCATAACCGCAAAATTATCGTATTTAAAAGTGATAATAATTATCATTTAAAAATAAATTTCGAAACGCTAAATAAATCAATTTGATATGTGGATTGTCAGGTTCTAAAAATCAGAAAGACATTTTTTGTGAAATTGTCCATAGCACTATTAGTAGTAGTTATTTTATTCGTCCAGAAATCGAAATTGAAAATTTTTACATTTCTTCTCGTTCTGAAGGTTTCTGAACATTTTGGCATACCTCAGAAAAAATGCATGTGTGTGTATGTATGTACAGATACAATTTTTTATAAACGTTTTTGAGCGTTCGGATCAACCGATTTGAGTAATTAAAAAAAACATTCGATTTCTTTTGTTAGGGAGATGTACGGATTAGTTTTCGGCAAAAGCAGGTCTACCCATATAAGAAATACATAGCAAAGAGTGCAGAAAATAGAAAACGAGTTTTTGAGAAAACGGAGCAGTCGATTTAAAAAAAAGTTTATTTACTTTTCTGTAAAGAATATAAGTTACAGTATTTATAATAATTTATTTGAAGACAATTAATATTCCTCGACATTCATTACTGTACGGAAAGTTCCAGCAATTTGCCTTAAGACACGATGCCATGCATCACTAGTTATTTTAATAATTTATTATTATTCATTTTATTTATAAATAATA